CTCTAGAAGTTCTGCTCTGGTGAACCAGCGGTCATCTTCAGGTTCTTGATAAGAGAATCAGAATCTGACTTTGTACTGTTTCTGGACGACCTCTACCTCCGGTTCTGAAGACATCCTCACCTACTATGCCATCAATGTCGTACCTTCCATCCATATCCGGAGGAATCATAGACCTTCGTGATGGACTCTGTTGACTCGTAGTACAAGGTAACAACTTTGATGCATGGAAAACTGGGTAGGTATGGAGGTGTGCTGGAATCTCTATCGTGTAGCCTAAGGATGGTCCATCATGTCCACCCTTAACGTCTAGGAATGGCCACGGTCCTCTATAAGCAGGTAGCAACTTTTGCGAGATGTTCTCCTCATGAGCAAACTCTTTTGACTTGACCCAAACTAAGTCGCTGACTTGGAACTGTGAAGGGCGACGGTGTTTATTGGCTTGTTCTATCATTCCGTGCTGGGCCTTCCTGAGGTTCTCAAATACTGTAGCAATCTCTTTTTCGTGCTGTGTCGCAAATTCCCAAGTACCGGGCGGTAGCCTCTGAATCTGATCCCGATTAAGTCCTTCAAACGGTCTGCATGGTTTAAAAGACTTATGTAGCTCATTGTGAGTGCGACAAGTGGCTAAGTGCACGCTATTGTTGTAAGCATTGGACCAGGTTACCTTTGGGAGCGTCTCATCCCAGTCCAGTTGATCGGGTCTAATGTACATTCTCAAAACTTGTTGTAGGACTTTGTTCGTCTATTCGGTCTGTCCGTTAGTCTCTGGATGACGGCCTGACGACATTAACAACTTTGATCCGTAGGCTTTCATTAATTCTTGCTAGTTCCGACTAGTGAACCGGGTGTCCCAGCCACTAACTATAGACAACGGTAGCCCATGTTCACTGACCCAATATTCGAAAAACTTTCGTATCACTAACTCTATGCGTGCCTCAGAGGGCAAAGGAACGAAAATGGCGTACTTGCTAAACCTATCTACTACAACCATGACTTGACTCTTGCCATGTCTACTTTTGACACCAGCATCCATGAAATTTATAGACACTGAATCTCTGGGTCCTTCGGGGATAGGCAATGGTCTCAGAAGACCTAGAGGGGCTTGTGTAGTAGTTTTATTCCTTTGGCACACTTTGCAACTACGTACGTATTTCATGTAGTCGGCTTTCATACCAGGCCAAGTATACGCTCGCATGAGGTTGGCTAATGTCTCCTGCCAATCGAAATGTCCCTCTGTATGATGGCATTCCCCTAAGATCAAACTTCGGATCTCTTCGCTATTGGGAACGCACAGACAATCAACAACATTAGTCTTCTCGAATAACAAGCCGTCAGTAGTGCGGTAATCTGGTTCTGATTATGGTGCCTTCTTAACTCTCTTGAGGAGGTCGCTATAAATAGGGTCCTGCATACACTTCCTTGACTTTCTGCTGCAGATCTCTCCATATATCCAGATAATGCACTATCGCCCCAAAGTAGTCTGATCTTCTACTCAAAGCGTTCACAACTACATTGTATTTTCCCTTGACTGGCTTTAGCTCCAAGTCATACTGATCTATCTCTGCGGCCCACCTAGTTAGCTTTAGTGTCATCTTGGCCTACGTTTTCAGCCACCTTAGTGTCTCGTGGTCTGAATACACTTTAAAGTGTCTCCCAAGCAAGTAGTGCTTCYAGTGGTCTAACGCTTGCCTGAAAGCGTAGAGTTCCCTCTCATAGGTGGATGTCGCTACCTTTTTTGAAGCCATTCTAGCAGACATGAACTCTACGGGGCTGTATCCATTACCATCGTCTTGTTGTAAGACAACACCTATGCCATATTGACTTGCACCAGTGGTGACGACGAATGGCAATGATGGATCGGGTACCTTAAGGACAGGATACTCTATTGAGGCCCGCTTTAACTTCTTCAGGGCCGGCGTACAGTCTTTATCCCATTTCCAGATTGCCTCATTCTTCAACAATCTGTGAAGGGGAGCAACGATGGTGGAAAAGTTTCAGACGAACTTTCTATAGTTATTTGCCAACCCCAAGAGCGATCGCAACTCTGTCAGCGTGCGGGGAGTCCGCCAATCTCTAATTGCTACTATCGTACTGTCCTCAGGCTTTATGCCATCTCCATCTAGGACGTGGCCCACGTATAAAACCTGTGTCTTGGCCCACTCACACTTCTTCACATTGATCTTGAAGTTAGCTTCTTTCAACTTTCCCAAGACCTGCCTCAGATGGCCCTCATGCTCTTGGAAGGTCTTACTAAACACTAAAATATCATCTAGATAACAACTACAAATCTATCTAACCATGGTCTGAACAAGTCATTCATACAACGCTGAAACGTAGCCGGCGTGTTGGTTAATCCAAAGGGCATCACTGTAAACTCATAGTGCCCGTATCGGGTCTTAAACGTTGTCTTGTGCTGATCATCAGAAGGGACCTCTATCTGATGATAGTCTGACTTCAAATCTATCTTGGAAAAGTATTGCAGCCCTGCACTCGATCCAACAAATCATCTATTTGAGGTAGTGGTTCTGCGTTCCTCACTGTGATGGCGTTGAGACCCCTATAGTTTATACACATTCTCAACTCCCCCTCTTTTTTGGGGACAAACAGAACACGTGCTCCAAACGGAGACGGACTGGGCCTAATCCAACCCTTTTCGAGGAACTCATCTAACTGCTTCCACAACTCCTCTAGCTCCCTTGGGGATATTCTATACACCGCTCCTTTGGGAGTTCTACTGCCAGGCTCTATCTCAATTCGATGAAGGATCGGGCGTTGTACTACTCATGTAGGCAGCTCAGACAGATCTGCATATTCCTCCAGCAACTAGACAATACGAGGGTCTATGGACTCTTCGGACTTAGGCTCAGTGATTGGCCTAACATAGGCAACGAAAACCTGTTCTTCTAGCTTCTCCTTCTTCACCAACCTTGCGAATCCCGAAGCACTGAGGCAGCAATGTGCTACGGGGTTCTCTACCCCTGACACATGAAACAGGCGGGCAATCTTGACTCCACCTAAAGGACTAGGGAGCCCACACTCATGCTCTTTCAAATGAAGTGTGGCCCCTTTTGCCTCTCCCCAGTTCATTCCTACGACTATATAAAACAGGAGGTTGTCTTCTACGAGGAGAGTCAAGGAATGAAAAACTCTCTCTACCTTGCCATCTTTCTCTAGGCAGAAATAAGCTTGGACTCCCTCGACATAATCCTCGACTCACATTGTGTGATTGTCTGCGAGGATGATGACTATAGGTTCCTCTAGCTTTTGGACCTTTAGATTTAACTTCAGCTTTTGTAGCGCTTTACGACTAATATAGCTAAGGGTGGCCCCACTGTCTCTAAGGGCCCCTACTTTGCCTCTAAAAATCTCTACATCTACCAATACTAGTTGTCCTTTTCCATCCTTCTTCATCTTGGCCCAGCTAGACATTCTCTCCTTCAATTCTTATGCCACACCTGTGAGGGAAGTGCCTAGAAAGACCCTAACACAAGCAGTCTCAGGAAAGCTATCTAGGCACTGGCAAGCAACCTCTGCCATAAACACATGTGGGTTTGGAGTTTCTCTATGGTGCGCGCACTCTTCTCCGCATGGTCTAGGGGCAGTTGCGACCCCTACCGGTGGTTGCCTTTTGCTGCCTGTGCAGCAAATCGGGCCTCCCTATATTTTGGGCAGAATTTGATAATGTGACCTGGATCACCGTAGTAAATGCATTGATCCTGGTCTACCCTCCTCTGCCAGACTTTCTAATCGAGACCCAAATCTTCCCAAGGCCTGCCCTGTGGCAGTCAGGGTGTCATCCACCCCTCCTATAAGGTGACCGATTAGAATGTGGACGGTTTTGCGGGGGACCTTGACCCTGCCTTTTGGCGGTTTCTCCTGCCGCCAACCCCCTGATCGTCCTGGACTCGACCACTTCAGACCTGGCCCCCTTGGCCCCGGCCTCCTCCTCTTCCTTGTGGTCTCCCTCCAGCCGCGACAGCAACATAGGACCTCCCCTGACCTACACTCTTGTCCTCCTCCTCGAGGCCCCACTCTATCTCACTATACGGGACCTCCTCCGTTCCTTCTTCGTCCAATGTCAGTATCCGGCTATCCTTCCCCTTAACCTGTCCCGAAATGGTTTGGCCCTTCCACTTCTTACCCTTCTTATAGTCTCTGTGCCAAAATACCTTCACTTGCATGGACTGGGCCTCATATGCAACGACGTCGCGACTTAACTTATCATAAGCCATACCCTGCTCTTGCGACTTGTCATAAAAATGCCCACGCAAACTCTCAGGCATCGCACAATAGAATAATTGAACCACTTGTGGCTCAGTGACCCCATGGTCTGGAACTGCGACAAGCTCATCCATAACGCCCTTGAGTGCCCTTGCACTCTTCTACTGTCGTGTGTGGATTGTCTGGAGCTTGTCTGAGGCCTTAATTCCCTTGGTTACATCCGCGAAACGTTCGCGAAGTAACTTTAGGAATTCATTGAGGGGAGTGATGGTGGAATACGCTACCATATCATTGTCGCATTTGGCGGTGCGGGCTAATGACCTGTTGAAGCTAGACGCTTCGTCTCTAAGGGCGTGGAACGTGACGAGGACTTGCTCCTCAGGAATAACATCCTGGAGGTGCATGTAGGAGTTGATGTTGGCCTCCCAATTGTCAAAGTTTTCCCCTTGTTTCCCGTTGTAGGCATCAGGAAACTTTATTTTAACTCGTTCCCTACGCGGGCGTGCCTCCTCCTCCTTTGGGACTGCAAGCTTGGCGCCCTCTATGGCGCCAACATAGAATTGTTTTGTGTTCTTCATGCAGGCCTGCATCTCAGAGCCTATTCGCATCATCATATCGGGGGCGAAATCTCTAAAGCCTACTCGGATGGACTGTAGGGCTATATCATGCCCCCTTGAGAAATACATCTGCTCCTATTGGACACGAATTAATACATCTATACTCTTTGCGATTGCATCCAACTTGCTCTGCAAGTCCTCGTGTGTCAGCGCCTTCGTATGCTGTTCTGCTGCAGCAGCCAATTCCTTCTCTAACCCGGTAGCCGCCGCTATGCGCCTCCTTCTCTGCCTTTTCAATCACAATTTTCACTCCATTTTTTTCTTCTCTTCCAGGGCCTGCTGCTCTGACGGGTCTTTCAAGGCCTTTATCTCTGCCGCTCCAGCATCCCTCTCATCCTGGGGGATGTACATCAATGCTTCTTCATCCTCCCCCAGGGATAAGTTGGCCACCCACTCCAACACCATCTTCTCGAGTTTCTTCTCGTCTTCACTAATCCCACTGGATTCCCCTCTTTCCTCCCTCCTCATAGTCCTCAGCAGGGGTATCTCCTCCTCCTCCTCTTTTTCTTTTTCTACCTTTTTAAGCTTCTCCTCCTCTTCTCTCTTCACCTTCTCCATCTCTTCCTCAAGCTTCTTCTTCTTCGCCGCCTGTGCTTCCAACAGGGCCTTCTTCTTGGCCTCCTTCTTCTCCTTCCTTTCTCTCAGTATGACGGCGACACTCTCTTCCTGCTCTTTCGTATATGGGGTGGTGCTCGTACCGCTCCGCGGGTCAACCATGGTGATAGGTGTACAACCGGATGACAGTTCCACTCCTCACCACTTAGACTCCCACCCCCTGACTGACTTAACTTATGACTGGCTTACTAAGGACCACAGAATCCTTGGAGGACCCTGTCAACTATGGTCTCTAACTTGACTCTACTTCTAGGCTATCACTACAGGACTTACCGCTGATCAGGAGGCATTTAAGGAGATCGCTCGTAACTCCTCAAGAATGATTTAACGTCGCAAATAGGACGACACGATCAGCAAGTCCTCTCAAGACGTAGACAGCTGGTTGTGCAGCCCACAACTCGGATCTTGGGCCTACCGTGCCACACTGAGCAGCCCGCCGGTCTGCTACATGACACCCGCAGCCTAGGCCGCGGGCAATTTGGCCGCCGCGGCCCAAAAAGTCGGTCGCGGCCGCGGCCAATGAGGCCCTGTCCGCGGCCTATTTTTTTAATATTTTTTTTATACCCCTAGACATACGTTAAAAAAAAATATATATATATATACTCTCTTTCTGCCTACGGTTTACCGGGCAGTTCTGTTTGTGATGAATCTGATGATATATGCTACGACTTTGTTAGCTTCCTGCTACGTTTTTTTCGGGTAAGGTCGAGCGGCAGTGGTAGGGGCTGTTACTAGGCGGCCATGTTGTGCCTCTAGTGCCAGCGGCGTGTCTGGAGTGTATTTTTTGGCTGTGACAGACCTTTCTTTGTTTCGTGGATGTTTTGCTGGCTTGTGATGGGGTGTGAACCGACAGTCTGTACAGTTTTCCATCTGGTATGGGTGAGTGATAGTCTACTTTGATTTTGGTTAAGGTAGATTATCATTTACAGTGTAATCAGTGAGGGGATTCTGCAGACTGTTGAGGGTTCAGCCTCCTGATGA